TCTTGAAATGAGAACAATAGCTATGAAAAACAATCTCTTACAATAAGACTCACATTCTGCTAATTTATAATTCCAGTTTTTTCTTTTCACAGCTTCGGTGCATACACAGATTGTAGTCACCCAATTTGCAGATGTTTGTGCAAATCATCTCCAGCTCCTTCCTCTTGGTGTCACAGAAACCTGAGGAATCCCTTTAATTAGAGGGGAGAAAGTAACATTTCTTACCATATCTGCAGATTAATATCTTGGCAGAGTGTTATTACTTCGGCAGTTCGCCAAAATATCTCCGTACCTGGCAGCCAAAAGAGAAATGCCCTCTGTAAAAGAGGTAGTTCCCAACTTTGTCATCTGCCTAAGTGCGACATTTATCTCCACAGTGACAAATGCTAAAGAATTTTAACTCAAACTAATCAGTAAAATTGTCCATGAGAAAAGAGAGTTGAACATCAGACGCTGAAAGAGTCAAGAGTTTGTTCAAAAATCGAAAATCTGCACAAAATAAACACAGCCGTGTAACATGCACTGGAAAATGACCCTGTTGTTGGCAATGTGGCCCAAACTCTGGCTCCAGCAAAGGAGCACAAGTTAGCTGTAACCATATTCAGTTTGATTTTCTTATACATATTCATTTTTTGTGATAAACAATTACTGGACTTCAAAATATGCTTGGCGTTTATTTATATTTATTCGTTACTGTCCGTTCCGTGCCACAAGGTGGCATATATCATGAAGCCAAACCCTGTTTTAAAAGTCTACCTCTGTGTCCACCACTCATGAAGGAATAAGCTAAGAGTGATCTTTTTTTCTCCATTTTGTATGAGGATATAGTACAACTCAAAAAGGAAAGCTGTTTGTTTGTTTTTTTAGACGTTTTTAATTTGTTTTGCAGAAACCCGGGAGGATCGAACTAAAAGACTGTTCAGACACTACACTGTGGGATCCTACGACAACTTCACCTCATACAGGTACAGCTCAAGCTGTTCTGCAAACACACACACACATAGTTTTGCTATATTCAGAAAGATTAAATGTAAAGTTAGATATGTGTTTGAGTGCCCTCTAAAGACAAAACACTGCTAGTGCACCAGAATATACCACTGTATTCATGTGTTAGTCTTTACACACTCAACACACACAAGTTATGTAAAACTAAAATGTTTAGGGTTTTTTTTATACACCATATGCCTCTGGTTTGTTGTTCACAGTGATTATATCATAGAAGAGAAGAATGCTCTTTTACAGAAGAAAGAAAATGAGGGCTTCGGCTTTGTCCTGCGGGGAGCAAAAGGTGAGTTGCATGTGCTCAAACAGGTGTATGTACATATCGATTTAACACACATATCCCTGTTGTCAGTAAGGTCAGTCCAGGTGTAGGCAAACTTTCTGACTCGCGGGCCACAATTGTTCCTAAAATTGACCAGGTGGGCCGGGTCAGGAGCAGATGGATGGAGCGTTCGTGCAAACTCAGATAAATGACATGTAAAGGTCATGTATAAAGGCTAAAATGCTAAAATGCTTTTATCATTTTCCATGCCAACTATTGGGAACACGGGGGGATTGCAGAGAATATTAGTATAATGGTAATATAAATAAATTATATAATTTGGAAAAGTTTGATGGTGGATTAAAGCTGAATGGGCCACAGCCATAGTCCATACTTTGTATGTCACAGATGTTCTCCATAATAAATATCTTAATTCAAATCTTTGCCTAAATAATGACAAGACTATAATGGCCATACATACTGTCTCCATGCTGGGTTTGTTTTTTTGTTTTTGTTCATCAAGTCTTGGCTCAGTCAAGTAATATAAATATTATTTTTTTGGCCAGTTTCAGGCTGATATGGAAGATCCCATTGATTGACAGGTTTTAACGGTTTATGCAAAGCTTATACTCAGCAACACAGCATCAACTATCAAAGAAAATTAGACAGTGATAAACGGCTCTCCCATTCTCATTCGTCAGGACATTATTACGTCTGAGCCATTTTCAGTTTCTTTAGCAGAATCCCTACAATCCTCCTCGGCTGCAGTTTTATCTGAAGGATCAGTAAAGAGATCAATTGACTCGTCTTCTCTCCATTTATTTTCCTCTGTTTTGTCAGCTAGTCTCTATTTCACAGTCAACTTCTGTTGCTCTCTCTTACTAATACGATGGCAGCCAACATTTGGACATACAAAAGCAAACCCCTCTTTTATCAACGGTTTCGATATTAACTGTGCTAAAACATAGCACAGCCTGCTGTAAATATGCTGCAAGTCCAGGACTAGGGTGAATGTTTCCTGTACCAGTACCAGATAGAGTGTGTAATAAAACACAGGAGTAGGAGTACCAGGAGCACGAGAGTACCAGATAGAGTGTGTAATAAAACAGGGTAGTACATTTCTTGTTGCAAGTCCAGATACATGATGAAAATAATTCAATGCAACATACAAATAAATATATATGGGTGTTTAAAGTGGAGTCCAAACCAACTCATGGGGTCACCTGTTCCTGATAAGGGAGTGAACAGCATCTTATGAAACGTACATTTATTGGTGGCCTTATGGATCACTGACTTTTACAATGGCTCAAGTCCTCGTATCTTAATCTGCCGTATAGTTAATCTGGTTAATGCACAACTTTCGAGCGTTGACCTGAGAAGATGTAACTAGTTTTAGCGAGTGCAGCTTAACAAAATGAGCAGCTTTGGTCAACACGCAGCGTGTTACTCAGATAGCTGTGAGTTTTGTGTGTGTGTGTGTGTGTGTGTGTGTTAGCATGGGCTGAGCTGTCAGCTAGTTCCATCTGTTCTCCACAGATGGTGTTGATCTTCAGTAGACAGACTCCACTGTACTGTATTCTCTTATGTCATTGTTGTTCTGTCTGTCCTTGTTTTTATTCCTGTATCCTTTTTTAACCTCCTTCATATCATTCTGCCCTAATGTTTCCCCAAAATACAGTATGTCCTGTTATTGCATACGTTTGACCTCAATTTCACCTCTACTTAAAAGATGGCTTCCAGAAAAAACAGTTTTTCATTTTGTTGAACATTCCTATTGTCAGTTAGGAACACCCGACAGTGTCAACCAATATTATCGACCTGATATCAGCATAATTATGTAACATCTGTCCAATATTATCGACCCGATATCAGCATAATTATGTAACATCTGTAAGAATCTTTATCGTTTTTTCCTCGGATATTGAAAACCTGCCTGGGTTTCGCCAAAAATGCTGGAATTGCTCATGGGGTCCTGAGAGGTTTAGCACAGTTTTGGAAAAAACAGCTGTATATATCAGTATCAGTTAATATTGGAATTGGAAATTAATTGTACAATATCATCATATTGGATATCAGCACTCACCTTATAAGCACTCTACTGGTGCTCTCTACCACGGCGATTATCTCCAAGGCCGGCTGGAGCTAGAAATAGGGAAGAAATGCCAGAGCTGCAGAGATAGAGCTAAGAAGATAGCTAAGAGAGCCTGAAGGAGGGGGATTCAAACCCCTCAGTCTTATCCATCACTATGAGCAATATGACGTGTCTGGGGTTTAAACTGGACAAACTGTGTGCAGAAATCCTGACCCCGAGAACAGTTTGATGTGTGGGCTGCCGTGACAGTCAGCAGCAAAAGAGGGAAGGAGGAGATCCAACCCAACAATAGATTGAGCACTCCTGGGTTCTTGAATAGAGCAGTGCTCCTGACACCTGGTAGCCCCCGTGGACTCCCTAAGGTGCCCGCGGGGTATGTTCCAAAAAATAAACTAGTCAACCAGAGGGTCAAACATTGTACAGTTACACTTGTAATGATATCCAAATGAGTACAATGACGATGGTAAGAAGTGTGTCTACTATTGTCTGTCCTAGCAGTTAGTATTATTACATTGTTGTGGAAGTCTGTATCGAACACGTAGCTCCTCATATTACTAAGAACCCTTCAAGTAGCTCTCAGTGTCTAAGAAGTTGGTGAGCTCTGACTTAGAGACAGCAACGCTTCTTTTAACAAAAATGTATCCAACTTCATTGTAGTAGAGAGTCATAGAAGAAATGTTCCTGTGTTATATAGTTTCCCTGTGAAATATGGATTACATGCATCATGTGGTGTCTCTCGTTCCTGCTTTGCCGTTTTTGCATAAATAAAGAACCAGAAGCTGAGCCGAGCTTAGTGTCTGTGTCCAAGATAAGCCACCAATTAACTGCAGCTCAACACACAAGAACACATTCTATAAATAAAATAGCAGGGACAGCAAGAACTATTTTCCCTAGAATCATTTTTTTTTTGTTTGACTACAAAACCTTGAACAAAATCCTTTTTGCACATGACATATTTGAATGTTTACAGTTTTATAAATGTCAATAACAGCTCTTACCAAAACAAAATGAACTGATTACAGATACAGTCACAGTCCTTTTGTTGTATTTGAATTTTCTATAAAAAATATTTGAATTTTCAATCATTAACAGCTTCTTTCTTGCAACATCCTGGGGACTGGTAATTTTCAATCATTTCTTTCTTGCAACATCCTGGGGACTGGTTGAGACAAACTTCGAGGACATGTCCAGCCTATGTACAATTTTTTATTAAACCAGTTAAAAATTCTTTAAATTGGTAGAGAATACACAGTATATTTGTGTTTAAAGCTGTGTATTTTCTAATGATTGTGATTGTTTGTGCTGCTGTGCTCAAAACAGCTGAGACGCCGATTGAAGAGTTTGCACCGACTCCAGCGTTCCCTGCTCTGCAGTACCTGGAGTCCGTGGATGTGGAGGGAGTGGCCTGGAGGGCTGGTCTCAGGACAGGAGACTTCCTCATTGAGGTAACCAAAACAAAATGCTCCAGATAATTGTTTTAAGTGTTGGACTTCAGAAAAAGCAGATTTTTTTTTTGTAGTTTTTAGTGTAGATTATAGTTACAGTATGTGCTAAATTTGAATTGAAATTCTTTCAATGAAAAAAAATCATGTTCTCTTTTTACCACGTATGAACAGATTTTAATATTGGGTGGAAATGTATTAATGGAATTCTTTCCCTTGCCTGAGCCCTCACTTCTACATCTCAGGAGTAATGCCTCTGTAGTTACTACAACGCTGCACATCGCCCTGTTCTTGAAAATCAGGACCAGTACATCCCCTCCCTTTCTTTCCCATCATTCTCCAGGATTGTGTTAAACATCCTGGTTAAAAAGTTCAATGCACTCCCTCCTAAACATCTCTGTACCTCCACAGGTTTTTTCACTTCCTCCTTATCAACTTCCTGTTCTTTCTGTTTCACCACCCGTCCTTTTTTCTCTCTCTTTTCCCTGATAGCGTAACCATTTTGTATATTTTAATGCTGCTGTTACTAGTAGTTTTTGTCAACAGTGATTTATAAAAATAAAATGAAATGATCTCAAAATCACTTAACTGCGCCTTCAATCTGCCTTTTGTAAAAAAAATGTGCTTACACATTTGTAGGCATGACTCACTCTGTGCGTTTTTGTCTTAGGTGAATGGGGTGAACGTCGTGAAGGTCGGCCACAAGCAGGTAGTGTCCTTGATCCGACAAGGAGGTAATAGGCTTCTGATGAAGGTGGTGTCAGTCACACGCAAACCAGAGTCGGAGGAAATCATTCACAAGAAAGGTGAGGACCACAAGGATAACTGTTTACCTACATTAAAATAAATGCCTTTTCTGACCCTAATGTGATTTATATGTTTATATTTATTATTTTATTTATTACTTATCAGATGTTCTTATGCTGCTAATGCATTCGATGGAATTTCTCTTGTACTTTTTTTGACTGGCCCAATGTTTTAAAACTAAAACTAAAAACAATCATAATTTTAAAAAACTTCCCCAAAATGTCATGCAAAAAATGTTATTTTCTACATACAAAAATTGAAAAGGTCAATAATTTCTATGAAATTACATTATTGAAATACTGAAATAATGTATTTTTAAAAGATGTCTTGTGTTATTTGGATTTTATAATAGTGCTTTTCCATGTTTCAGAGGTTTCAATCAAATCTTATATTCTTGCTGTAAATTTGTGTTTCCATGTCAACCACATCCACCCACAATGGTACTCAGCTCCCACGCGTCTTAGGCACTTTGACCTCAGGATGGTGTGTTTGCGCGTGTGACTGCACACATGCATCATTTAAAGTTACTATGGGAAAGTTCCTATGTCCTGTCTTTGGTCTGTTGTTGATGTTCTTTCTGCTCTAAAAGCCTATTTCAAGAAATCCAGCGTCCTAATACCAATGCCAACGAGAATGTAGCTAAGAAAACAACCCTGAAAATTCTCAAGTCGAACTTACTGCCAGGTAATGATGTTGAAATAAAATGAATGTTGCTATGCCAGCTTGGTGCCAACTCAAATCTGATTGGTCAAAGAAGCAATCTCATTGCCATTAATTTAAGGCTGCCACGCCCACTTTGATACTATTTAGGCCAGCAGTGAAGGCTTTGTTGGCCTTGACGGTAGTAGGAGCTTAATTTCCTTCTTTGGCTAAGACTTAGAAAAGTATGTCATTAGGTTGGTTGCTGCTGTTCATAGCCCTTAAAAACTACTAGCTAACTGCTGCTTAGCTTCTACTCCCTGGATTCTCAAATTGAGAAGCTACAGCCATGCACACATACATTACAGTCTGTGGGTAAATGGCAGTGGGGAACACCGGGGGCTTGATTCCTGTTAGTCAAAAGCAATATTTCAAGGTTGCAGCTGGCAAACGCTAGGAGTATGAGTTGACCCAGAAGTGAACCTATCGTATGTCTCTGAGGAGGCACACACGGCAGTGCGATGATTTGATAATTATAGCACAAATAATTGGTTGCACACATTTCAGTCTGGAACCTGTTTTGCCAAAAACCTTTGTCTTGTAGCCTCCAGTAAAATGTGACTAATTCAACTAATGTTTGTGTTTAAGTAAAGGGAGAGATGTAATTCATTTTTGTTTAAAAAACAGAGAATGAGGTCAAAATGTAGCATGAACAACTGAGGACAGAGAGTAGAATACTGTTAAAGACTCAGCCCTGAAAGAGTTTTTTTTTTACTAATGTTGCAAAGCTCCACCTGAATTCCTTTTCTTAAAGTGTCCATTGTGTAAAAGACCCAATTTTTTAGTGGGACACTTTCGGCGATACTGCACTTTTGCACAAGCGCACACGCGCATGCTCACACATACACATTCTCTGCACCATGTGAATCCTCACTACTGCCACCGTTGCCATGGTGACTACGCTGCATGTTTGAATTAGGCATTACATTACAGCAAATGTTCTCTCCCTCTCTGCCTGGCTCCCTCTCTCTTTTCTCCGTCCTCCTCCATCTCCTCCGTTTTTCTGCTGCTGTACCAGAATGTGCTAAATGGAGATGAGAAGATGTTTTACACGGACTACACCGGGGATGGCGTATCTACGCCAGATCAGCAGGATAGTGGGGCAATAGGCAGGCACTGGAGCTTCAGTGGGATTTAGAAATCAGTCGCCCTACAATGGTGCATTGAGTGTTAGCTGGTTATCCTGGAGACGGGGAGGCTCTGGTGGTCGCGGTGTGGTTCATTGCTGAGAAACTTGATTTTGTTAAAGAATTCAGAGATTGCTGGTGCTGCTGCATGTGTTGTATGCTACGGTAGCTTTTCAAGTGCATGACATGACATTTGTATGGCAGAGTTATACTTACATGTCTGCATTTTAATCTGGGGAATCTTACTTTGGGACTAGGATATTATTCAAACATTGTATTTGTGTTTGGAGCAGTGCTTTGAGTAGATTGGCCCACAGGGTGCTGGTGAATCTGGATATATGGTCATCCATTAACTTAAGGTGTCGTATTGTTTTTTAATTGAATCTGCCGTAGCTTTGAGAGTTTCTCTCTTTTTTGCAAGTCAACCTGTGGAAGGATATCCAACATCTACTGATGTTCATCTACTCACTTCTAGAGAGGCGGTGCATTAGTATAATTCAAATGGACAACTTTTCCCCTCACTGCTTTTATCCAGTCTAGCTACGACTGCAGGAGACAGTTTCAATTCCACGTGTTATGAGAACATTCAGAAAGCCAGGTTTGTTTCAGCTAGTACCAGCTTTACCTTTACTGCACCCCAGCTCAACAGATTTAGAACCACCTAAAGGCTAAAATCCTTAAAGTTTTAAAGAACAACTGATATTTAAACACAGTTAATGGACAGATATCAAAAAATGAAGAAGTTAAGCTCCAATCACAGACTGAACAAAGTCTTGGCCAAGTGTGACGCATCCAGTACAACTGAATTTAGTCAAATCAAATCAGCGACGACGGGATGGGCCGGCCGTCTGGGAGATGCCAAGAGGGCACTGAGCCGCAAAGCCAAAGAAATTTCATCCGCCTCATCCTCATCCTCAACACCATGTCTCTTCTTCGCAGCTCCACCGCCACCCAAACGATCGCCTAGCACCACTCTGACGCTTCGCTCAAAATCTATGACCACTGAGCTTGAGGAACTGGGTGAGTGCCAGAATACGATCAGGAAATTTGCAACTTCTCTTCCTCTTGTCTTGTCATGTTTCTACTTTCCTGCTGTTATAACTTGCCATATTTCCTGACTTTTCGAAAAGTCACTTCTCTTGGTTTGTTCTTGTCCTTTGCCCTGCTCTGCTGATGCTATCTTTGTCCTACCAAGCTTCTGTTCAGAGGAGAAGAGGAGGTGAGTCTGAGTGAAAACAAGACACCTGTCTAATCACGTCGTAATTTGATTGAAACCCAAGAGCAAAGCCCTTGAAAAGAGTGTCTTTGTTGTCTTTAATTTCTAATTACAGTACACTTCAGTAATCAGTGGAAATAGAACAACTTGTCCTGGTATTTTCTCTTATGTTTTTCTTTCTCAACAGAGAGACTTGATGAGATCTTGGCGTCCCAGGAGTCTGTGATGCACTCTCAGCCTTCAGAGGCCGATTACAGAGCAGCCACTGTCAAACAACGACCTACCAGCAGGAGAATAACACCAGCAGAGATCAGTGTGAGTGCACCTACATACAGTACATCAACGGACAGAGTAATCTACTACAGAGCCAAACAAAGGCTGCTACAGTGGTTCCCAAACTTTCTCTGCTGCCCCCCCTTATGGTTCATAAGAAAACGTTCACGTCCCCCACTCTTTTACTTCACACATTTTAAATGTAACTGTTTTTCCGCACCTTAAACATGTCCATTTTGTGCAAGCACTGCCAACTTTGGTCAGTTGTCAGGAGTCAGACTTTGCTGTGTGGGGGACAGCAACGAACACACAAACGCTCCATCTAACTGCTCCTGACCCTGTTCAATTTTAGGACAATTGTGGCCCACACCTGGTCTAGGATCTGACACACTTACATTATGTCATGTGTTATTTTTGGTGCTTAGTTGTGGTCTTCTTGAAACATGCTCTTTTTCTCATGGTAAATGTGCTTTTGTATGACAGTCACTGTTTGAAAGACAAGGGATGACTCTACATGGACGTCTTCACACAGCTGTTGAGAGAGGTCACATTCTACTTCCCAAGGGAATGTCCAGGACAAAGTCTTTTGGTAAAAAAAAACTATGCATGACTTGAATATTCAAAGCGTTGCATGCAAATATTACACTCTGCTGGTAGACTTGCACATTAGAATTTTTCTATTTATTTTGGTTTGTAAATCGTAAACTGCCTGCACCAAATACTATTCACACCTGCCAGTCACAACTCCCAAAAACGTAAAGTAAACTGCTACATACGAATGAAGAAAAGGATCCAAAACAGTTCATGTAATTAGACTTGAGTCGCAATTGTTTTATTTAATTCTGTCTGCACTTTTACTATAAGATGGAATTGTATTTTGTATGAAAGTGTAGAAAACACATCATTCGGTGAAGCCCAGACATTGCGTTATCGGGTTTTCATTATTGGAGGAAAAACGGAAAACGATTCTTACAGATATTACATAATTCTGCTAACATCGGGCCGATAATATCAGTCGAGAGACCAAGGACCGTGACAGATATTTATGTTTGTTACGGTTTTGGTGGATCTTAAAAAAGAGGCATCCATCTACTACTGGAGTCGGCATGTCTCATTCAGAGGGGAACTCACACACACACACACACACACGGGATGAAAGAGCCACATGTGGCTCCGGTGCCGCGGGTTGCCGACCCCTGGTGTAGACTGTACTGAGCACCAGATCCTGTCTTGTGAATAGGAAATAACGTAGGACCTTTGTTTCCTGGATTTATTCTCATGGAGTTAGAGGAGAGAACCTTTGTCACAAAGAAAATATTTTTTTATTACTATTACTTATATGCATTATGTCATTATTTAAGATTATTTATCATTGAAAACATAAAAGCATAGTTTTGTCTCATTCCCTGCAAATTATAAAAATGCAAATTTAATGTACCTTTAAGAAGGTGGGGTTTGTATAGTAGTAAGTTTTTTGTGGCAGTAAAAAGTCTTATATTTTCTTAAATGCACTTGAAGATTTGTTTAAGGATAGCTTTAGGAATTTCCTCAAGGGTATTTCAGTGAGCTCACAGATAGTCTTTCCTCATAAACTGAAAAACGTATTTCTGCCTCTTCAGGTGCCACTGAGGAGGATCGGCTGTCTGCCCTCGCAGCAGAGCACAGATTTTCTCGCAGCTCCTCCATGACAGACAGTCTCAGAGAGCACTTGCAGCCACATCCCATCCCTCCTCCTCCCCAAACAGCACCTCCTCCTCCTCCATACTACCTTGACACTGGCCCTCCCCCAGCCTTTTGCCCTCCGCCTCCCCCGTCAAGGACCCAAAGCCAAGGTCATGAACCTGGAATTCGCTCCAGTTTCAAGCCCTCATCCTTGGACCTACCTTATGAGACCGCTCAGCGGCAGGCCACGCATATTGAGAGGCAAAAGAAAGCCCGCTCAATGATCATCCTCCAGGACTCTTGCCATCTACCTGTTGAACCTACAGAGATTCCTCGGCCCTCTGCTGCTACACCTCCTGAACGCATCAAAAGGAAGGGTCGAATTATCGACAACCCCTATGCTAATGTGGGTCAATTCAGTATCGGGCTGTATGCACCCACCAAGCCCCAGAGAAAAAAAAGCCCACTTGTGAAACAACTACAAGTAAGATTTATTATTTGACTTCAACTTTAAGGGCAAAGGGAGGAGAAGTGGGAAGAGAATGACCTTGTCTTTTTTTTTTGTCTTGAAACAGGTGGAAGATGCACAAGAAAAAGCCTGTTTGGCCTTAGCTGCTGGTCACTCTCGCGAGAGCTCACCCTCAGGACGACATCCTCATTCCCCTCTTGGGCACACACACACAAGCCGTGCGGACTACCACCAGCAACAGCTGATGGCAGAACAAGAGCATATGCATGCCCAGGGTGAGATCATGTTTCAGGGTAAGGTTCCCTTGGCTGCTGCAATTGCTGGAGCAGTGAAGGATCGTGAGCGTCGATTAGAAGAACGGAGGAAATCCACAGTCTTCCTTTCTGTTGGGACCATGGAGGGGGTATCTACCACCAGCTCAGACGCCCCTTCTTTAACTCAGTCTCACTCTATTGACGAACGTTTGCTTTCCAGAGAGCTAGGAAAGCTCCCTCCCCCTGCTTTAAGCATAAGTCCTTCGCCAAGTGGGACAACCTTTATTCATCCACTTACAGGAAAACCACTGGACCCAAACTCACCACTGGCTCTTGCGCTGGCCGCAAGGGAGAGGGCGTTGACCTCCCAGAGCCAGTCTCCAACTAGTAGCCCAGAACCGAGGACTAAACAGGAACGAGCAGGCCACGGCATAATATTTATGGAAAGCCAGACCAAAGAGTCTCCGCGTGAAGGGGCATCCGCATCTCCCCCTTTTTCACCCAAAAGCACCAAGGCAGCAGGGTATGGAATTGGATCCTCCCCAGCACCGATTTTAATTTCCCAAAAACCCAAACCACAGTGGGCTACGTCGGCCTCACCTGTTTCATTCCAGAAGGAGATGGAGGCCAGATTAGAAGAGAGGAAAGAAGATAAGAGACAAGAGGATAAAAAAAGCATGCTGATCAGTATAATGGATACATCACAACAGAAAACTGCTGGGCTAATTATGGTTCATGCCACCAGCAATGGCCAGGTGGCGGAGGTAAGTACAGAACAAGAAAAGATCCCTGATCCAGCATCTGTAGAGCCTAGCAAATCCCCAAGTCCACGGGCTACTTCCCCTAATGTCACGGTATGTCATCCCTTGACGCTGCCTCAAGCCCAACATCCAGCCAGCACTTTGCAAAAAAAAAGTCTGGCTCAGGGAAGTTCCGAGGAGGATGTGGATCCTTACACCGTGTCCCTTCCCCCAGCAATGCTGTCGTCCAGTGATGAGGAAACAAGAGAGGAGCTACGTAAAATCGGAGTTGTTCCACCACCAAGTGAGTTTGCAAATGGGCTACAGGCACAGGCACCGAAGACGCCAGTGTCCCTATCTAAACCTGCCAGCTCTCCCACGCCCTCTGCAACACCAACATCCCAAACTTCTTCAACCCCAACAACCTCAACTTTGACTCCAGCACAGCCTCCCCAGCCCTTGCCCAGCGCAACAGCTGTCTCAGGGAAGCCCTCTGACCCTCTAGAGCCACTACCGGTGGTTGAGCCTGGTTCTGCAGCAGATTCAGGCGTGGAAGAGGCTGACACACGCAGCTCAAGTGAGAAGGAGCGAGACCACCATCTTGAGACCACCAGCACTGTCTCTACAGTTTCTAGCATGTCTACGTTGTCCTCAGACAGTGGCGAGCCTGCAGATACACACACAACGCACACCTCCTTTGCCGACGGGCAGACTTTTGTGCTTGACAAGCCACCAGTGCCTCCCAAGCCCAGACTCAAGTCCCAGATAGGAGGCAGCAAAGGTCCTGTCACTTTCAGGGATCCTCTGCTGAAGCAGAGCTCTGACAGTGAGCTGCTGTCACAACAACAGGCTGCTGCCCTTGCCGCTGCTGCAGCTGGAGGACCAGGGCTCCCCTCAGGTGGTTCGGCCTCAGTGACTGGACTAGCTCCCACTAAGCCACGTTACCTTTTCCAACGGAGGTCAAAGCTTTGGGGAGACCCCGTGGAGCCCCGTGGACCAGGAGTGGGGCTGGGTATTGGGAGTTTGGGGAATCTCGGTGGGCTTGGATTGGGGCTGGGTTCAGAAGAAGGAACAAAACCATCTGTTATGGGGGAGTTGAGCTCACGATTGCAGCAGCTAAATAAAGACACTAGGTCATTGGGAGAAGAACCTTTTGGGGCATCTCTTGACCCAGGGAGGAAGTCACCTGTGACAGGTGCCAGGTAAGAGAAAATGGATATATTAAGTGCATTCCTTTGGAACATTTTTATTTTATTGTTCCCAATTCCATATTGTGCAATCATATTATTGTATACATCGTTCTTTTTTTTAATCATTTTAAATCAAACACAACTTATAACAGTGATTATCATTGGATTATGATTATCACAATGTACAGGCCCCATCTTAAAATGATTTAAGTTTGTGATTTAAATTATTAAAATGTATTAGTTGTTAGTGCCAGTAAGCAATTTATGCGTTAGAACCAAGCAATACCACAAGTGTGTTTATATTAACTGAGGGAATAATAAAGGTTGGGAGTGGTCTCTCAGGAACTCTGAGTCCTACAAATCACGTGGATCAAAAGTCTTGCTAAAAAAACAGAAAAAAACCCCAGAACAGTTTCTTTTCTACTGTTTCTACTGTTTTTGGTTGTTAAAGAACATAGATAAATGGGAAGATGCTAACTACCCTCTGGGCTTATTGTGAGAGTTTATGAGTTTCTCAAACGTCTCAATTAAAATAAACATTTTCCAACCAGGGTGGGAAAATTAGAAAGTTTTACTCATGATTTCGTGAGAGTTCATTTAAATCAGGGGTGTCAAACTCAAATTCATCACGAGGAAAATCTTGCAGTAGTTGCAAACTCGTAACGTAATGCTCGTATTTCGGGAAGCTCGTATCTAAGGGGTCCACTGTGTTAAACACATGAGCAATTCAATTTGAGATAAAACACACATCAGCAGTATTTGTTTCCTGTTATGTATCTTTATTTGTAGCCTTTCGAGTTCTTTTTTTTCTTTTTAATGTAAATTGTTTTTTCACAGGCCATGTGCTAAAACTTAGCGCATACACAGCTAATACATGTAGGGGCTTTATACTGGTGGGCCAACTCTAGTACACATTTGATATGATCTTGCGGGCCAAATATAATTACACTGCAGGCCAGATTTGGCCCCCGGGCCTGAGTTTGACACGTGTGATTTAAATCTTGTTTTTAACTCTCATCATGGGCACTGGCACTGTTCTGATTTTTGTTGCATGCTGTACTTGTGTTTACTAATAATGGGGTCAGGGGCCAGTGTGATTGCCGGTGTAGGAAATGACATTGTAATTAAGATTTATTGCAACTCCTGCAAGGAAAACACAAAACTAATATAAAAAAACACATGTGATTTATGTCTGTTATTTGTGGGTTTCTTTTTTTTTTTTGACCCCTAATCTGAAAATACAATAAAGTTGTTTATATTTTTGCAGATGTGAGGATACTGAAGAAAATAAACCTCAAGGTTATTGCACATTGGGTAAATTAAAACTCTAAAATACTTTTTCCCTAACAAATTTTCCAACTAATCCCACTGAGAGAGAACAGCCCTCTTGTACATTTTTGTTCCATTACCTTCTTGTGTTACCTTGTTTGCACTAGGGGATGTTATTAAGTATATTTTTCACAGAACACAATTGATTTCATTAAGGTACAGTGACACTCTATAAGTTATGGCTCTGTTCATTCTCTTCAGTGCATGTGTGTGTGTAGCATACACTAGTGGAGGGTGCAAACGAGGTAACAGGTTTTGGAGGGAGCCAGTTCCCAACTGCCTCTCCTCATGACCAACACACTGTCCTTGCTGAATCCTAACCCTTGCCTTGCTAGTGGCTGTCTTGACCAGTTGTCCTTGGGTTTTTTTTCAAAGTCCTTGTTCAAATATTGCATTTTACATCCTAACACCACCAGGTCTTTGAAGCCATCACTGACAGAAACCTCGTTGGTTTCCTTTTGTCATGCCATAGTAATGTCAGTGATAAACTCAAAGATTAAGGATGTATTTACAGACGTATTTGAACAGGGCTAAAGTATAATGGTGTGTCATGTTAAGCCTGTCAACACATGGTGTAGAGGATTTGATATACTGCCTTTTGTAGCACAAAGGACTGCTGCTCCACTCAGTGTCTTGCCTTAGATTAGCATGTACCGGGCTAGTTGTTAGTCATTGAGTAACGTTGTTTGCATACACAGATGTTTCTATTTCAGTTTGGGCACCATTCAGTAATATGTCTGGATATGGCACAATATTATTGCCAATTCCAAGTTCAAATATACCGTATTTTCCAGACTATAAGTCACATTTTTTTCATCCTTTGTCTGAGTTTGCGTCTTATTTACTGTATGTTTTTTTCTGGTAATTTTTGCTGGTGCGACTTACGTATACTCCGGAGCGACTTATAGTCCAGAAAATACGGTATTCAGGTTCTTAATAGAATGATTTACAGTACATGTACAAAAGTAAGGGTTACACTCAGAACTGTGTACTCAAGCCAAACTGCCCATGGATTTGTGTCTCTACATCAGTGATGTCCACACTTTTTTGGCTTTGGAGCTACTATACAATTTCCAGGGTAAAGTGATCTACCTACATTTAAACTGTTAGATATATATTTCCTAATATAAACGAAACTTACTTTATATATATATATATATATATATATAATATATTTGAGTACTGAATATATGTATGCAGTTGTGTGGCACAATATGATTTAATCCGTACATTATATGGTCACTGCTACACACTATAAAATTATATTTATATTTCACTGTTTTTATTTCAGTTGCTCATGATGTACCAGCACTACCTTTACGATCAACTGGTAGATCGCAATCTACTTATTGGGTACTCCTGTTCTACATAGTTGTGATCTAAAAGTGTGAGAGAGGCAATGCTAACCTCGGGAGTAGTAGTTTAGGACAATGCACTCTTACTTGCGGAGGCACTTCTTTACGATACAGTGAGCAATCTGCACACTCCTAGTAGTACGTTATTAGCTTTTCACAGGAAATCTTGCAACACAACCAAACACTTTTTGTTTGAACAAGACTTTGCCTACATGACCACAAATTCAATATGTGCTGACGGTGACAAATTTCAACAATCAGATGTTCTTTTGTAAATAAGCTTGTCAATATCCTGAGAAAGTTCATTTAACTCACCACCACTCCCGCTGAGCTGTGATTAACTTGATCATGCACACCATTATGTTTCTGTCGTTTCTTTCTCTGTGAAATATTGAACTCTTGTCCCGTTACCCTCGATGTTGTTCCAACCACTTCCACCGCCTTCTTCTCTTGCATGCTCCATGCATGTTTTCATTCATCACAATTGCTACTCCGCTCTCTCCCTCCAGTGTCTACCATGATCAGCCACTGGGCATCTGGGTTTATCTGGTCTTCTTTGGTTGTTTATTTGGTTTCATTTTGTTTTCTTTTTCAGCAGTTGTAATGATGGGAAAAATCATACATTTATTAGAATAAAGTTGTTACATTACAAGAAAAAGAAAGTATGAAACAAAAGTCAAAACTTACAAGAAAAAGGTTGTAAATATACAAGAGTCACAAGTCGTAAATCTATGAGAATAAAGTTGTAAATGTAGATGATTTTTTTTTTGAGGAGATAAGAGAGAACTACACAGTGTTCAACATGGCTGTGTCAGAATGGTAAACGTGTACAATTCTGAAGTTATCATTTAGTATTGGGTTCACAAACAAGGAGATACTTCATCGTCATCTCATCTGTATCACATCATAATGAGCTTTGGGACTTTTAGGACTTTTGACAAAGATTTATCTTTGTAAAAGAGAACCACAACCACCAACCTGAAGTGTGTGATTCACCGAGACCAACAGCACTCGATGAGTGGTTTTAGCGAGGATACCCTTAGACTTTATTCTCAACTTTATTATCCTAGATTTATGACTTTATTCTTGAAAATTAATTATTGTTTTCATAACATCACAACTTTTCACAAGTGTATGTATTTTTTCTTATGTTACGACTTTATTCTCTATAATTTAATTGCGTTTTCTCTTAACGTTATTTTTTTCTCATAAACTTCCAACATTTTTCTCATAAAGTTACAACGTTATTCTCTTTATTTTTTAATCTCAACGTGGCCCTAATATTCTGCGGATTATACTAGTTCACTTAAAGGTAGTTAAATAAATTCTTTCAACAAATGACATTTGACCTTCGATCTTAACTTTACCTCATTAAGCGATGTCAAGTGGCCCTGACTTTATATTCAGTGCAGTAACAGCACAGTTAACTAAACTATAGAGATAGCTTCAAAATGTCATATTGGGAAAATCAGGCGTAGTGATGAATGAACACTTAGAAGAGGGAGAACAAAAGAGCAGTCTGTTATTTAGTCATTACTGTCAGATCTGTGCTGGATTTGACTGATGTAATCACACTGACAGAGATAAAATGATACACTAATGGAACCCTGCCCTTATGACTCACAAGGGAGAGCAATATTTTTAATGAACTGAAGGCTTACACTGCTTACAAATAGAGATGACATCAAGTCACGTTTCACGTCCAATTCAACTTAGTCTCAAGTTTCAACCTTTGAGTCTCAAATAAGTTTCAGGAAGTTTTTTTGCAAGTGAAGTCACATGTTTATATCCTGTCAAGTCCAGGTGACATTAATGCCATCCTACCCACAGAGCTTGGCTTGGAAAATAAAGGCAAGATATAAGTTACTTATACTGTCATATTGCTAGATTTTCTATTATCCAGTGTGTTCCTCTTTATATACCGTAGGTGTCTGCTTGTGGTCTATTGTCTGACATGTCAACAGTGTGCTCATGTCTCATGTCATGTAGCTGATCAGACCTTTCAAAACTGAAGCCTTCTCTGCCATCTTTGTCGACCTTCAGCCGCACACACGAGTACAAATTAGTGAAGTATTAGTTAATTCAATGGCTAAAATGTTTGAGAAAGATTGCTCACATTTCATTATTTACACAATGACTCAAATGTCCTCGGCAACAAAGATGGCGGAAAATGGGCAACAAAAGGCCATGTCTCACTGAGCGATGCTAACGTGCTCTCCCATTTTCCATCTCTCTCTCACTCTCTCGCTCTCTCTCTCTTTCTCTCTCTATGCTCACCTTGCATGTGCACCGCCCTGCTGCTCTGATCTGATTGGTTCTAGAACTGACTATGCGTCCAGGAAGGCAGGACAACTGTGTAAGTGTGGATGGAGCTCATCTCATATCTGTTGAGTCCACTGTAGTTGAAATTGGTTTCAACCTTTGCGCCGCCTCGTGTGTAGTCCAAATACACGCACGAGACATTAGCTCACATGCATATACAAAACCAACTCTGTTAAACCAGCTATTTACAGAGTAACATTTTAACATAGTTAATTTGTTGGAGGTTACAAGCAGTAGTAATCCAGAATTAGGTGATAGTGTACACTATAGGAACTAGACGGAGCGATTTGTCTGTGAAGATTCTCATTCATCCAGGTCATGTTGTCCAAAGAGTTTAGTTCCTCAGTTGGGGAATGAAACGTCTTTTAAGCTCCAAGAACATGTCCGGTTGCTTACAATTAACCTTTTTGGATAACTAGACGGAGAAATTCACTAGGAAAGTCTGATATTAACTTTTTACCACCTTTTTGTCCGTGAGCTGGTGACAAGCAGTGTTTGCATCCCGCCACGGTTCCCCTTGGGATGCTTTGAAAACATATGATGTGCACAGGTGTACCAATCAGTGTGTTCACTACACGTGTGTGATTGAAGCAAACGTTGCGTGACGAGGAGTTCAGGTGAAATAAACATACTTTTTGTGGCTGTAAACCGGCTCATCCAATAGGAATCAGGCTACCAGAGTCATTGTCATGATGTTGACAAGCCGGCTCATCCAGAGTCATTGTCATGATGTTGACAAGCTCAACATCATCGCAGCCGCATCACAGAACCTCTGAATGACAGTGATTATTAGGTTGTTTTTTTTACACTTGATGTGATGATGGGTTTAAGAAAATTTGGAAACAAACGGCCACAAGTTTTCTACAGTAGAATCAACACTCTTCACAGATCTTCAGTTTTCAGGGGCAACAAAAGTTACTACTCCTAAAATGATTACACTGAATGGACAACACTTTGTTGGACACTGATTTGAGTGTTACACACATGTGTAACGTGTCCTTGAGTATCGTACAACAGCTCCAAGATAAAGACTGCTGCAACGACCAAAACGATTTCCATTTTTTCACAACTGTGGTTGACATGTTTTGATAGTTAGTCAGTGAGATGTGTTTTGTTAAAACCAATGTCACCAAGTCATTTTGTATGGCCCCCAGGATCTTAAAAAGAATTTAAGCTCCTGAGTCCATTAATAAAAGTCAGTTTCTTAACCTGATAAATGAATGTTTTTTACACAGCAATGGTCAATATTTGAACTTATAATAATCAATTACAGAAACATTTATTAATACTTTATGGAGTAGTTACTATTTTTCAATTATTTCAACACCTAATCCATCGTCCTCTTTTTCCTTAAGATCAGTTCAATTACTCTGCTGTACAGATTATCCCTGCATTTTATTTCTAACAGGTCCTTTTCTGTCTCCATCCATGCTGTTGCTGAAGGTCCAGTCTGTCCTTGCAGGTCACTCAGTGCAGTTTGCCAGATTCAAGACTGTGTTTAAAGAAACGATTTTCATTGCCGTTCATTTTAGACTCAGACACCACACTGCTGATTCTGAAGGCCCTAAAGCAGGTTTCTGATAAAAGACTTGAGTATTCACAACTGGGAGCAGCACAACCAAGTGGACAGCTATGAAATGACTAACGCAGACTACTCTGTATATATATATATATATATATATATATTTTTTTTTTTTTTTAATATAAATATTCAATATATTGACAAATAAGTCACTGATTCTGATACCAGTTAGGCCGGCACAAGACAGTTTTAGGATTTTTGCCATGTAGGATAATCTCTGAACCTTAACAAGTTCATGTTCAAGACTTCTCCTTTGAAAAATGCTGTTAGTTTGAACACGCCTCATCTTTTCCTAAAAACCCTCTCACCACTGTCCTATTATTGTTTCATCTTTAGAAGAGCAGATCAATTCATTGTAGTCGCCCTCACCTTGGCTCACATTATGTCTGTCTCTCTCTGTCTCTGCTAGACTTTTCAGCAGCCTAGGTGAGCTCCACACCATCTCTCAAAGGAGTTATGGCACTACTTACACCATCCGCCCTGGAAGTCGCTACCCGGTCACCCGACGCACTACAAGCCCAGGTTCCGGCTCACCTGATCGAGGTGATCCTCTTGGACGATATGCAGGCTTCAGCCTCTCACCCTCAACGACTGCAACGCCACAGACTATACTCAAATCCTCCAGCCTCGGTCTGCCACAGGAGCCCAAAGAGGTCCGATTTGTAATGAGGAGCTCCAGTGCCCGCTCCAGATCCCGCTCTCCGTCCCCGTCACCTTCCCATTCCCCAGGATTGGGCTCACCGCTTTTGGCCCTTCGACCTTTTCACCAAAAACCCCTACATCTTTGGAATAAGTACGACGTCGGGGACTGGCTGGAGAGCATCAACCTGGGAGAGCACAGACCAGGGTTTCAAGAACATGAGATCGAAGGCTCCCACCTCCCGGCTCTGACCAAGGATGACTTTGCGGAGCTGGGAGTGACGCGCGTGGGACATCGCATGAATATTGAACGAGCACTGAAACAGCTGCTGGAGAGCTGACCCCTGCCTGAGAACAGAGCAGCAGTTAGGAAAAAGATGTGGAGAGAACATATAAGACGTAGAGTGGGTAGACAGAAAGAGAGAGGAAGGAGAGGAGGTTCGTCTTTTACCGCAGCTGGTTTTCCAATGACTTTTTCTCCCATATCACATTAACGTCGTGCACCTGGTGCTGCACTGGAGGAGAGGACGATCAGTGAGTCGTCCACTTCTGTTTCTGAGCCAGAGAGATCCCACTTCAAAATGGGCCGCGGCTTTTCCGTTGCTCCAGCTACAACGTCCGATCTACGAAAGACGACCTTCTCCCTTCTCCCGTTCTTCTCTACCTCTGTCCCACCATCTAACAGGCTCGGAAAAGTTCGAGTACAGGAGAAGTGTCGTTCCAAACAGAATGCGTAGTTGCCTTTCACATTATAGAGTTCCACAGTCGGTAACGGTGAGACTGCTGACAGAATCGGAAGAAGTTTTGTCTTCTCTATACTCGGTATAGATTTTTGACACAAAAAAAAATTTAAAAAAGACTTTTAACCGAAGCAATAGAGCTTCAACAAGTAAACCACGGAAGAAAACCCAGACTGTGCTATTATATTCGGAGAATGTTAAACTAACACTCGTGGCTTTTTTTAAATAAATATTTTTGGTTTTATTTTCCAAAGGAAATAGTATATATAATATGGTATATATCTATTTACAGTTAGCTTTTAGAAGAAGAAAAAAAATATATTGCAAAGAGAAATATAATAAACACTCTTTGCCTCTTTTTGGCTTTTAGTATAGAAGGCAGAGGGAGTTTTATTCCAACAATAGTTTACAGATTTTTACCTATATATATATATATATAGCTATATATAATAAATAAATAAATAAATATATATGTATCCTTATAGTCACCCTTTCTTAAATAGTAGCATGACGAGTTGCATCATGGTTTCGAATAGAAAGGTTTGTGGTAAGCTTTTTATTTTCTTAAAGTCTTCCTTCATACATAAGGGCATCCCATAATGTGAGGCTAGGACCCCATCCTTACCCTAATCCCTGCCACTTCAGCTACAGACTTTTGCGGTGTGATCTGCTGACCGACACATTGGTTTAAAAAAAAAAAAAAAAGGAGGCTCTTCATCTTAAGCCTCTAAATCACTCAGGGATGGAGGTTTGGGGCAATGGAAAGATTTTTCTTTCTTTTCAAACATATTTAAATATCGTGTTCGTTGTTTTTTACGTGCTACCAATTTATTTTGAGACTACTGGTGAAAAACAAAATTACATCTCATTGTTTAGTAAAAAGGGCCGTTAAAGCTTTTTTTTATTCTAACAATGTTCTCTAACGCAGCACTGAACCAACAAAAATGTGACAAATTTATACATTTATAAATCTAGACCAGTGATTTTACTGTACAAGCCATGGACCTCAATTGGGCTTTGAAGGCACTGCAAGT